TCTCTAGGTAAGAATCCCCAACAATCTCTCAACAACTATTAGATACAACCTAAAATTTCAGCTAAAAAAAAGTAAAATTAATATAAAAAATAAGTTGAAAATACATATAGGGAGGAACCAACAGAAGAATCCTGACAACATGAAAAATCTGAGCAGATCAACTCCCTCAGGAGATTACAAGGGAGACATAGCAGAAAATATCAACAGAGAAACTGCTGAAATGTCAGAAACAGAATTCAGAATATGGATGGCAAATAAGATGAATGAAATTAAGGAGACAATAGAAAAAGAAATCTAAAAAGTAGTCCAAAACTTGTTCCAAGAAATTAGTGGAATTAAAAACAAAGTCACCAAGGATCTGGACATAATTAGGAAAGATACAGCAGAGCTTAAGAAATTGAAAGAGGCATTCAAGGGGCTTCAAAACATGGTAGAGAGCTTCAGTAATAGAGTAGAACATGAAGAAGAAAGAATTTCTGAAATCAAAGACAAGACTTGACTTTGAACTAAAACAATCATTCAAAGAGGCAGAAAAAAAATAAGAGAGAACAAAAACAGAATATTCCCTGAGAGAGTTATGGATTATCCCAAAACATTCAAATTATAGGGATTCCTGAAGGAGAAAAAGATAGTCCTAAAAGCACTGAAGCTCTACTTTAAGAAATATAGTGAATTTCCCAAGCATTTTAAGAGACAAAGAAATTCCTACAGTAGTTACTTTTAGAACCCCAGCATGACTCAATTCAAACAAAGCATCTCCTAAGACACATTATAATTAACTTTGCCAAAATCATAATGAAAAAGAAAATTTTGCAAGCAGCCAGGCATAAAAAAAAAAAGTCTTACCTACAAAGGGAAAAATAGCAGAATGACAGTGGACCTTTCAGCTGAAACTTTTCAAGCCTGAAGAGGGTAGTCATTGGCTTTTAACCTTCTTAAACAAAATAATTTTCAGCTCAGAATCTTTTATCCTGCTAAACTGAGTTTCATTTGTCTTGGAAAAATCAACTATTTTACTGACATACAAACGTTGAGAAATTTGGGGACAACTAGACCAACTCCACAGGAAGTATTTAGACACATTCTTCATACTGACCAGCACCATGGTCCATCACCAAAGTAAACATACCCAGAAATTAAATACCAAAAGCCTAACTTCCACAAAGGTGGAAGGGATAAAACTAAGCAACAGACCTCCACAAAACAAGACTAAAAAAAATCCACCATACCTACCAACTCTCTCAATAAATGTGAATGGCTTGAATTCCCCACTGAAGAGGCACAGGCTGGCTGACTGCATAAAAAAATTAAACCTTAATATTTCCTGTCTCAAAAAAAAAATGCATCTAAAAAACCTAAGTATAAAACAAGACTTAGGGTGAAAGGATGGAAAACAATATTCAAGGAAAATAGATATCAGAAAAAAGAAAGGAGGGCTGCAATCTTATTTGAAATTGAATTTAAACCAACAAAAATAAGGAAAGACAATGATGGACACTATATATTGGTCAAGAGAACTATACAACATGAAGAGATTTCAGTAGTTGACATCTATGCACAGAACCTAAACAAACCTAGATGCAGAAAATGAACCCTAAATGATCTGAACAATTTGATATCTTCCAACTCCATAATAGCTGGAGATTTCAAGACCCCTCTGACACTTCAGATCCTCCAAGCAGAAGCTAAGCAAAGAAGCAATGGACTTAAACATGACCCTAAAACAGATAGGCTTAGCAGACATATACAAAATATTTAATCCTAATAAAACTAAGTAAACTGTTCATATCTTAGGACATAAATAAAAACTCAACAAATTTAAAAGAACAGAAAGTATATCTTTATCTTCTCAGACCATCACAGAATAAAAGTTGAGCTCAACACCAACAGAAATCTTCATACCCACATAAAGTTATGGAAACTAAGTAACCTCATGCTGAACAAAAGCTGGGTTTGAGGATGAGATAATGAAAGAAATCATTAGATTTCTTGAACAAAATTATAATGAAGCCACAAGCTATCAAAACCTGTGGGATACTGCAAAGGCAGTCCTAAGAGGCAAATTTATAGCATTAGATGCTTTCATCCAGAAAACAGAAAGAGACAAAGTCAGAAATCTAATGGACCATCTCAAGAAACTGGAAACAGAAGAACAATCAACCCCAAACTGAGCAGAAGGAAAGAAATAACCAAAGTCAGTGCAGAATTAAATGAAATCAAGAACAAAGGAACCATTCGAGAGACCAGTGAAACAAAAGTTTGTTCTTTGAATAAAATTGATAAATATTTGGCCAGACTAACCAGAAACAGAAAATCAAGATCTCTAATAACCTCAATCAGAAATGGAAAAGGGGAAATAATAACAGATACCACAGAAACACAAAAGACCCTCAATAGGAGGATAAATAAATAAAATAAAAAATAAAGACCATATGATTCTATCAATAAATGAAGAAAAGGCATGTCTTCATTTAGGCACAAGAACATCTAAAAAGTAGGCATAGGTGGGACACAGGTGGGACATTTCTTAAAATGATAGAGGCCAGTGACAACAAACACACAGCCAATATCATATTGAATGGAGTAGAACTGAAGCATTTCCATTTAGCAATGGAACCAGACAAGGATGACCATGCCCACTATCACCATTGCTATTAAACATAGAGCTGGAAGTCCTAGCCGATGCAATGAGGCAAGAGAAGGAGATCAAGGATATACAAATGAGAACAGAGGATGTCCAACTCTCTCTCATTGCAAATGACATGATTATACCTGGAAAATCAAAGGACACAAAGAAAAAGCTCCTAGATGTGGCTCAGCACCTGTAGCTCAGTGGCTAGGGCTCCAGCCACATACATCAGAGGTGGCAGGTTTGAATCCAGCCTGGGCCTGCCAAACAACAATAATAACTATAAACAAAAAAGAGCCAGGCATTGTGGTAGGTACCCATAGTCCCGGCTCCTTGGGAGGCTGAGGCAAGAGAATCACTTAAACCCAAGACTTTGAGGTTGCTGTGAGCTGTGATGCCACAGCACTCTACCCAGGGTGACATAGTGAGACTCTGTCTCAAAAAAAAAAAAAAAATACCCCTAGATGTGATCAAGAAATACAGTAACATCTCAGAATATAAAATCAGTATCCATAAATCAGTAGCCTTCAAATATGCCAATAACAGTCAAGCTGAAAATCAAATCAGAGACACAATACCCTTCATAGTAGCTTCAAAGAAAAAGAAATATCTAAGAAAAAGTCTAACAAAGGATGTGAAGGGTCTCTATAAAGAGAACTATGAAACCCTGAAAAAAGAAATAGCAGATGACATTAACAAATGGAAGAACATACCGTGCTCTTGTCTGGGAAGAATCAACATTGTTAAAAGTCCATACTACCCAAAGTGATCTACAGATTTAATGCAATCCTCATCAAAGCACCAATGTCATACTTTGAAGAACTTGAAAAGATAGTACTTCATTTTACATGGACGCAGAAAAGAAAAACCAAATAGCCAATGCAATTTTAAGAAATAAAAAAAAATCTTGAGGTATCATGTTACCAAAGAATAAATAGAGATACAGATCTATGGAATAGAATAGATACCCTAGGGCGGCACCTGTGGCTCAAAGGAGTAGGATGCCAGCCCCATATGCCAGAGGTGGTGGGTTCAAACCCAGCCCCAGCCAAAAAAATGCCAAAAAAAAAAAAAAAAAGAATAGATACCCTAAAGATGAACCCTGCCACATATCACCATCTGATCTTTGATAAACCAAACAAAAGCATACATTGGGGAAAAGAATCTCTATTCTTTTCAATAAATGGTGCTGGGAAAACTGGTCAGCCACTTGTAGAAGACTGAAATTGGACCTACACCTCTCACTTGAGCACTGACAAAAACTGACTCTCGCTGGATACAAGATTTACATTTAAGACATGAAACAATAAAAATCTTAGAAGAAAGGGTGGGGAAAACTCTTGACAAAATCAACCTGTGAAAAGATTATGAAAAAGACCCCTTGGCAATTGCAGCAATGTCAGAAATAACTAAATAAGACATGATTAAGCTAAAAAGCTTCTGCACAGCTAAGAGCACAACTAAAGGGTACAACATACTTGCATGCTATGAATCTGACAAAGGACTTATGACTAGAATCTACAGAGAACTTAAAGTAATCAACAATCCCCTTTTTAAGGGGGCAAGAGACTTGAACAGAAACTTCTTTGAAGAAGACAGATGAATGGCCAATAAATACACATGAAAAAATGCTCACTGTCCCTCCCCATCAGAGAAATGTACATCAAAACCACTCTGAGATATTACCAAACCCCACTGAGAACAGCCCACATCAGAAAGTCCCAAAACTGCAGATGCTAGTGTGGATGTGGAGAGAAGGGAACACTTTTGTAATTCTGGTGGGATTGCAAACTAATACACCCTCTAGGGAAAGAAGTATGGAGAATTCTTAAAGAACTAAAGTTGACCTCCCATATGATCCTGCAATCCCATTACTAGATATCTACCCAGAAGAAAAAAAAATAATTTTCCCATAAGGACATGTGCACTGGAAGGTTTATTGCAGCTCAATTCACAATTGCCAAGATATGGAAGCAAACCAAGTGTCCATCAACCCATGCACGGATTAACAAAGTATGGTACATGTATACCATGGAGTACTATTCAGCCACAAGAAAAGATGGAGACTTTACATCTCTATTGACCTAGAGAGAGGTGAAACACATTCTTCTTAGTAAAGTATCTCAAGAATGGAAAAGCAAGTATCCAATGTACTCAATATTAATATGAAACCAATATATAAAGAACTACACACTCACATGGAAGAAAACATAAGTATATTCTAGTGACGGGGAGCAGAGAAGAGGAAAGGGAAGGAGGAAGTAGAGGTGGGGCGATTGGCAGGTTCTCACCAAATGTGCACAATCACACTCCTGGGTGAAGGGCTCAACTACAACTTGAACTTCACCTGAGAAATGAAAACAATGGCTTCATTTCCCATCGTGCTGAGGCTGGTGGCATGGCGGAGAAGGATGACACCGGAGTTTGACGAAGAGGTGGTTTTTGAGAATTCTCCACTTTACCAGTACTTACAGGATTTGGGACACACAGACTTTGAAATATGTTCTTCTCTGTCACCAAAAACAGAAAAATGCATAACAGACGGACAACAAAAGTCTCCTTCAAGAGTCCTACCAAAACAAGGCATCCTGTTAAACGTGGCTGAAACCATCAAAAGTTGGATTTTTTTTTCTCGATGCAGTAGGAAAGATGACTTACTTCACAAGTTGGACACTGGATTTCGACTGGACTCACTACACACCATCCTGCAACAGGAAGTCTTGTTACAAGAGGATGTGGAGCTGATTGAGCTACTTGACCCCAGCATCCTGTCTGCAGGGCAGAGTCCACAACAGGGGAATGGACACCTGCCAACACTTCACTCCCTGGCAACCCCTAATATTTGTTTGCTTGACAGGGTCAGTGCTGCTTGCCCATTTAGTAAAGCTGGACAGCATCCCAGTCAGCATCTCATTGGTCTTCGGAAAGCTGTCTACAGAACTGTAAGAGCCAACTTTCAAGCAGCAAGGCTAGCTACCTTATATATGCTGAAAAACTACCCCCTGAACTCTGAGAGTGACAATGTAACCAACTACATCTGTGTGGTGCCTTTTAAGGAGCTGGGCCTTGGACTTAGTGAAGAGCAGATTTCAGAAGAAGAAGCGCATAACTTTACAGATGGCTTCAGCCTGCCTGCATTGAAGGTTTTATTCCAACTCTGGGTGGCCCAGAGTTCAGAGTTCTTCAGACGGTTAGCCCTGTTACTTTCTACAGCCAATTCACCTGCTGGACACCTCCTTACTCCCACACTTTTGCCTCATTGCATCTTATCTGACGTGATTCAAGGCCTACCTCATGCACACTCTGCCTGTTTGGAAGAGCTGAAGCGCAGCTATGAGTTCTATCGGTACTTTGAAACTCAGCACCAGTCAGTACCCCAGCGTTTATCCAAAACTCAGCAGAAGTCAAGGGAACTGAGTAACATTCACACAGCAGTGTGCAGCTTGCAGCTCCATCTGAAAGCTTTACTGAATGAGGTAATAATTCTTGAAGATGAACTTGAAAAGCTCGTATGTACTAAAGAAACACAAGAATTAGTGTCAGAAGCTTATCAGATCTTAGAACAGAAATTAAAGTTGATTCAGCCCCATGTTCAAGCAGCAACAGTTGCTGGGAAGAGGCCATTTCTCAGGTGGACAAACTACTACGAAGAAATACAGATAAAAAAGGCAACCCTGAAGTAACATGTGAAAACCCGCACTGTACCACGGCATCTTTGATGAAGCCCACTCTGCACATTGCAGACAAAGATCCAATCCCTGAGCAGCAGGAATTAGAAGCTTATATAGATGATATAGACATAGACAGTGATTTCACAAAAGGTGATTTTTATTACTTGTCTCAAGAAGACAAAGAGAGACAGAAGCGTGAGCATGAAGAATCCAAGAGGGTACTCCAAGAATTGAAATCTGTGCTGGGATTTAAAGCTTCAGAAGCAGAACGGCAGAAGTGGAAGCAATTACTGTTTAGTGATCATGCTGTGTTGAAATCCTTGTCTCCTGTAGACCCAGTGGAACCCGTAAGTAATTCAGAACCATCAATGAATTCAGATATGGGAAAAGTTGATAAAAATGATACTGAAGAGGAAAATAGTAAACCTTCCACTATTGACAATGAACTAAGTAGGACTGAGTATTTATGTGAAAACCCTGTAGAGGATGAAAATAAAGACAATTCTACAAATGAAATCCTCCTCCAAGGAGCAGAAGAAAGAATGTATTACCAATGTGAAAGCGAAGGTGAATCTCAACAAGCAGATGGCGGTGGCCTGGCCGCTGCCCCACCAATTTGCAGGGACTCATTACAGCTGTATCAGGCAGAGGCTGGCACGGCTACAGCTGTCACCAGATTTTACCTTCACTGCTGGCCTTGCCGCAGAAGTGGCTGCTAGATCTCTCTCCTTTACCACCATGCAGGAACAGACTTATGGCGATGAGGAGGAAAAACAAATAAATGAAGAAGAGAAAAATGACATGGAAGAAAATTAAGAACCAAGATTGACATGAAGTGATTTCAGATTCCTTTTATGAAAGTGTTTAGCTCCAAGACTGGAAAGGGAGAATGAGTATAAGTTTACTAAATATAAAGCTAAGATGTGAATTTACAGGAAGAACCCTGGTTTCAATAACTGATCTGAAATTAAGTAGTTACCTGTAAATGGCAGATCTGTTAGGAAAATAAGAGAAAGGTAAGGGCTCTCTTGAATAAACTGTTTTATTTGTGGCACAATTGATCAATCTTGGGAATTCTTTAAGTATTTTTAATAAGAAATGAATCATCATTTCTTGCCAGAATTTGCTACCATAAGATAATTGGGATAATTCTGTTATAAGAACATTAACATTTATTATGAGT